AGCACGTCACCACATGGAACGTGTTAGCACTAGCACGTCACCACATGGAACGTGTTAGCACTAGCACGTCACCACATGGGACGTGTTAGCACTAGCACGTCACCACATGGGACGTGTTAGCACTAGCACGTCACCACATGGGACGTATTAGCACTAGCACGTCACCACATGGACGTGTTTAGCACTAGCACGTCACCACATGGACGTGTTAGCACTAGCACGTCACCACATTGGACGTGTTAGCACTAGCGCATCACAACATGGGAAGTGTTAGCACTAGCACGTCACCACATGGAACGTGTTAGCGCCAGCACGTCATCACATGGGACGTGTTAGCACTAGCACGTCACCACATGGAACGTGTTAGCGCCAGCACGTCACCACATGGAACGTGTTAGCACTAGCACGGTCACCACATGGAACGATGTTATCAGGTTTAATGTTGGGATGGGACGATATCAAAATTATGGCCGATACCGATACCTCGGCACATCCCTAGTTTAATGCATAACTAATTTAATTAGAACAATTTATCTGGTGTCCCCTGAGAGAAGTCTTGTAGTGGCTGTGAAAATAAAAATTACTTAAGTAATTAATAGGATCATTGGCTTCTGCACAATATCTTTAGAATGTCCCTCTGATCGGCGTCAGTAATGCAGTTTTTTGATTAGAGAAAGATTGGAATTGTCACTGGGATGTATGCGACGAATTTTGATAATTTAATTAGAGTACCTTTTTTTTTTTTTACTCTAATGTATAAGCTCTAAAAATATTAACAAAATATTTATTGTAATCAGCACAATAACTTTAGGTCTTCTACATAACCCTAAGTAGGATTTCTTGGTAATTTTAATCTATATAAATAACAATTTGTTATTCTCTAACATACCTAAAAAATCTAAATAAGATAGTGTGCGATAACCAAAGAATGTTGCGTTTGACTGGATTCAAACTTTCAAAGGTCGAGACTATTTAAAATGTTAACATTCATAGCTGGTGTATTGCTTTTAGTACTAAATTTAGTGTATTATTATTATATTCAAATGAAGTGCTAAACCGACAAGGGTCATACAGCGCTAAGGGGCAGAAAATAGTGTCAGGTCTATAAACAGCTAATTGGAGAGGGATATATGTTGAAGGTCGTGTAGTAAAGCACTTGCTGACAGTCAAAAAGTGATCGGAAGTCAGTCAGAACCATCAGCAAGGAAGATATAGAGTGGTAGGACGATGGTGGAGGTAAGTCCTGCCAGCTCGCTGGTAAACTGGAGAACCCACAAGAAAGTGACGACCCAAAACAGCGACCCAACAAACCTCAGAGAGGAATAGTGTGTCGGTCCATGAGTAAGGCGAGTATGGCCGATGCTAAGATGGGAGAGCGCAGTCTCCTGAGTACGACGGTGGTTAAGAACACTGCCACAAACCCAAACATTTAGTGTATTACCTATAGTGTAATATCTTTAAAGGAAGATTTCCATTGTTTTGGATTGTGTAAATAGAAATTTTCTAATTTATTTAAAAAAAATTTCATAATATTTTCTGTCATAACTTGTTAATGCTTCCTTTTTTATAACTTCAAAATGTCAATACTGGAATATCTTACTCAAAGAAATTTTAATGAGTTTATTTAGTTTTGTTGTTCTACTTTTTCAGTTTAAATTGTTCTTCTTTAAACCATTTAATGGATTTTTTTTTTTTAAGTTT